TTCCTCCTTTAACCTACAACTCTTTTGAGAAGCTATAAGCAGCAGCTATGAGTAGAGGTGAGAGCTATGGTGGTGGACAAAGTTCATTGGGGTACTTGTTTGGCTCAGATGAGCAACAAAGCCCACCTCCGCCACCTAAACCGCTAACACCACCTTACGGCATCGACAGCCAGGACACCGTCACTGAAAAGCCTCCAGGTACCCCTAACTCTGCTAAAAAAGAAAAGGCAGCCGTTTCCAATAACTATCACAGAGCTGAAGGCCAAAATTCTGGGAACTTCTTAACTGTAAGTTTCTCATATATATTTGTTAATTTATGTACACATATATTTTCTTTGGGAATTTAATTATATTTCTGCACCTGATCTTGCTTCTAATATATATTTCAGGATCGTCCAACAACAAAAGTTAAATCAGTTCCTGGTGGAGATTCCTCACTTGGGTACTTGTTTGGAGATAAGTGAAGGACTCCTTAATTTCTCCCACCTTCTCTACCTATATATATATTGTAATGGTTAGATTATGTGTGTTTAGGCAAAATAAATAAATAAATTGTGTGTAATAAGAGGGGTTCATCAGTCCCCTAATTAAGAGTGAGATTTGCAAGGTACGTAACCATTTATATGTAAGTTTGTGGATTGGCTTTGATGCAACATTAGGTTATGGCCTATATTTGGGTATTCTAAGTTTGTCATTTATAATAATATATTTTGAAGTTCTTTTGGTGTTTGAATTTTGAAATGGTTCAATCATGTATAGAATTTTTTATCAAGTGTTTGGTCAAATTTGGAAGCACAGAAGTGACACTTTCCGTTTTGGTTTCTTTGAAGTTCTTTAGAATTGTTTACCTCTTTCCGAACACTAAGTAATATTATCGAATTGTTGCTTCTCTTTTCTTTTCCTTTCCTTTCCTTTCTGTATTGTTTATTATGCAGAAACCATAATTTTCTGGTTTAAATTATATCTTGCTCTCCGACATGGATTCTCATCCTTACCAATAGACATGCAGTTCATGCTTTGGGTCTACTTTCATGATTTTGAGAGAAACTCTCATGTAACAGGGATAATACTTTTTGCTATCTCCGGTCAATAACGTAATGACATGTAAGATAATTTTTTCACGTATTATTGTGTTATTGACGGGGTAGCAATTTTTTTGCATGATTTGGTCTCTCTTTCTTTCAGTTGTACTTTAATAAACTAAGAATGGGAGTTTGCCCTTGTGGGTCTAAAATTCTTATCATAATATTCTTGCATGTGTTTCTTATATTATTATTTTTTTCACTTTATTGCCATGGAACTAAATAAACAATAAATCAAAACATTCCATTTGAATGATTTCATGTGATGTATAGAATTGTGTTTTTGTTTTCCATCTGAGTTAAGAATTTCATCCATTTTTATGATTACAAGGATTTTACAAACGACTTCATGCTAATCATGTGATGTGTAGAATTTTGTTTTTGTTTTCCATCATGGATTCATAAAACTTGAACAAACTTAGTAAGTTTCCTTCTGTTTTCTTCCTCGAAAATCTTTTTTTGTTACCGAAACGAAGAATTTGTGAAGGGAACTAAGGTTTCCTTATCTTTCATTGAGTGGAATTAGACATAAACCAACTCCAGTTTATAGAAATATCATTTTGTTGGATCATCCTCATTCATGCATCAACAACATGGTTGTTGTTTCTTACTATCTACTTCTCACCCTCTCCATATATATATATATATATATATATACATACACAATTGATGAAGAAGATGTTATGAACAAGGTTCAAAAAAGTGTACAAATTATCCATAATTTTCCAAATTTCAATCATAATTATGCTTAATTAAGTTGCCAAATGCCAATCATCAATACTCACACACCTCAAGTTGTATATATTACCTACATGCTTGACTAATAATAATTGGATACTTGGCTGTTAAAATTTATAAACTGAGCATATCTAGTTAAGCTTTGTGGGGCTTTATCATTTGGAGCACTCAACAACTAGCCCCTAAAATCCTGGATCCTTTCTGCCATACATACAGACAACTGATGAAATAATAATGTAGAGGACACGAAGATATATTATTGACAGGTGATGAGCCAAGAGAGATGCAGGGTCATCTGGCACCACTACTTTTACTGCCTCCACATTAACATACAGATTTTTATAGGCATTCCATTATTAATGCCTGTAAAATCTGATTTTTATAGTTAAAATAGAATGAAAATGACTCGGATGTATTTGCAAATCTTAGGGCCCGTTTGATAACCATTTTAATTTTAGTTTTTAATTTTTGTGCTAGAATATAGAGGAAAATGAGAGTGAGAATTGAAGTGAGGATGAGATTAAGAGAGATGATGAGAGGGGAGGATGAGAGGGAGGAGTGACAAAAGTGAAAATAAAACCTTGAAAGTGAAAACAATTTGAAATAGATTTCAATTTTTAGTTTTTGTTTTCACTTTTGTTACTCCTCCCTCCCATCCTCTCCTCTCATCTTCCATCTCAATCTCATCTCCACTCTCATTCTCACTTCCACTCCCCATCTTTTTCTTCTATACTTTAGCACAAAAAATGAAAAATGAAAACTAAAAACTAAAATTGAAATGGTTATCAAACCGAGACTTAGATATCTTGAGTTTTTCTAGGTCAAAAATCATACATTCAACCAGCTCTCAAGCTGTTATTGCATGTAGCTAGAGTGTGTCTTCAAGAATTCACCAATTAACAAGTTTAATTAGTTTAACATTGTTTTTGTCGCATGCTCATATAACTTATAGCCATGCCAGGCACTGCGCACAGATGATAGGTTGTGCTAGAAAACCAGGTCATGCCTGACATGACTTATTTGGTTTTGTTTCTTTTTTCTCAATTTTTTTATTATTTCAACTTTCTATTTAACAAATTAATAATGTGTGTTTTTATCTTGCAATTATCTTCAATTCCTCAAACAAAACAGCTCAATTATTACTAACCACCACCTTAATAACTAAGATCAAATTTATACTAAATTGTAACAAATTTATCACAACCGCAAATATTACAAACTTGGGTAAGGAGGTCATCAGCCTTGCAATTTTTACACTTGTCTCGTTGTGTGGAATAGGCAACAAGTGGGCCAACAACAGGCTTATTTGGGTTGTCCAAAACTGAGCTTACTTGACCATGGATTTGTCAAAGTCTCTTCACAAATTAAGCCCAATCTTCAGTTTCTTCTCACATTTTCGGCCCATGAGAGCGTATAAAGGAGAGAGATGATGGAAAAACTACAAGTAGAATCACCCAGCCCACAAAAACCGGAAAATTTTCACGTGTTACTAATTTTTACGTGTTATAATATGAGTGAACGACTGTAAATACACGTCTCATAACATGAAGTGAGGGATAATATTGCGTGATTGTGTGACGATTACACAAAAAATTAAGTACACAAGGACCATATGCATGTTTATTGAACAATTTATCCTCTTTATGTTTAACATAAATATACATAAACCTTAGTTTTCTGATCATAAAACAAGATTCTGAATTGCAATAAATAGTTTAGGAACAGAGAAAAGTGGGTGGCGCATATGCAGATTGTGATAACATCAAAGAAAGAGGGCTTGGTTTGGCTTCCCTCTTTCCCTCCACTAATTGAGAAACGCCCGTGAAGAGCTGGCCGCAGTGCTCAAAGTCACGGGTGGATAAATAACAAGGTACTGTGAAACTGTGGACCCTCAATCAACACCACGCCTCATAATCAGCCAAAATTAACTTCTTTTCTTTATGCTCCAGAGTCATAGTGGGTGTCATATCACAATACCAACGAAGCACTATCTATAACCACCGCAGATGACCTCACCTTTGCCATTTTATTATGGGATACCAAATTTTCTCAGATTCGATTCCTTTCAAAAGTAAATTTAAGTTTTAGTCACAAAAAACCTTTTACTTTTGAAAAAATTCAAAACTTTTTTCAAAAAGACAGAAAAACTCCTTAACTTTCAAATTAAAAACATGCAAGTGTAAATGATTCCTTAGAAAATCCGAGAATAAATAAGGGCATTTTTGTCCATTTTGACTTTTTTTAAAAATATTTCTCTCTCCTTTGACCTTTTCCAAAATGTCCCTGTTTTTGTCAATATTGTGTGGACATTAGACTACCATATAGATAACCGTAATGCTACGAACACCAACTTGTATATCAACTTTTTGTTACCAACTAAAGTAGCATATGAAGACTTAGGGTTCTCTCCAATGTCACAAGGTGAGGGCAACATTGACTTCCTAGTGTTTCAAGATTGTCGCCAATCTAAGGGCTACAAAATAACAAGGTAGTTAAACAAACTTTCCCTAGAAGGAGAGAGAAGAGGATGAAATTCTACACATAAATAACAAGGGAAAAAGTGGGGATGCTTTCTGTAGTGCGCACTGGGCCTTCTTTGTGTTAGTGCTTTTTCCACATTGACTCCATCATTACACCATCATACATATCTTCCAGTTCTAGAAATTTTATGGAAAATTTGCTTCCACTTCTTTCTATATTGAAACTGACCATGTGAACACCATACAATGATGCCCTCAAGTTTCTCATTGAATCACATTTCTTTTAATCTGATGCAGCAAAATCCAAAACTTGCTAGTTACATCTTTTAATTGTGATTAATTTGTCAATCAAATCATGGTTATTAAAATAAATTGTGGCCAAACTTAAATAACATATGCATATAAAAGGCTTTGGTTAAGGCACAGCTAAGGGGGGTTATCTTTAAGTTTTTTAAAAATAACAATAAAAATAAAAATATTAAACATTCTCAAAGAATGATACTTTGACAAAGATACAAGCTTTGGGGTGAAAAAGGTAAACTAACTTTATCATCTCCATCCATTTTGCTCTGCATTCAAACAAGTCTCAGAAAAAAGAAAGAAAAAAAAAGTACACAAACTGCAACTTATACATATATACACACTTCATTTTGCAAAAAACCAAAAGACAAGGTTTGAGCAACTACCATTGTTTTGTATAATGAAGTTGTGGAAGACTCCCCTGACATCTCAGGTAAGCTCTCTCTTCCATTAATCTTCCTCCCCTCTCAATTCTACAAACTGTTTTTGATGCACCTATAAAAGCATTGCTCTTTGGCAGTTTTGTTACATGATCTTTTCTCTCTTATTTTTCTTGTTGAATTTAGACTATTGGGTCGGCTTGCTTTCATCCAGAAACCAAAAAAAATGCAGGCAATAATTACCGAAATCCCATCAGAAACTCTATTTTTTGTTTTTGTTTTTTCTATGTTGCAGTTATCTGAGATGCTGATGGCAATAGTCGTTGTGGTTTTATTGGCCACAACAAAAGGAGTTAAAAGCCGCAAGGCCCGGGAAGATTTAGACTACTTTGAGTACTGCGCCATGAGTTGCAGAGCCCACAGTGCTTCCTTGGCAGAGTTTGGAGGAGTTGGTGATGGAAGCACATCAAACACCAAGGCTTTTCAGGCTGCCATCAATCATCTCAGTCAGTATCAATCTGATGGTGGGGCACAGCTCTTTGTTCCTCCTGGTAAATGGTTAACAGGCAGCTTCAACCTCACCAGCCATTTCACCCTCTATCTCCATAAAGATGCAGTTCTTCTTGCTTCTCAGGTTAGAAAATTTTGATGGACAATCTCACTTAACACAAATGGATGGTTGTTTACATTTGGGTCTTTGTAAATGAAACTAAATCCAAAAGGGTGGAAGAAAAATGCATTCTTGTTGTGATCAGAATCATTTTTATTTGAAGGAAGGATTGAAAAATGAAAAATAAAAATAAAAAACAGAGCATATCCGTGACTGCATGCAGGACAGATGTGCAGAGAGTCAAATCCAAAAATAACCTTCCAACCACATGTTATTTTTCAAACTAAAGTGGTTGTTGTAAGATTTTTAAGGTCATCATTTTTGTGTAACATATGTTCTAGGTGTTCTGGTGCATCTAGTGTGCATGATGATGAACACGTTTTGAACCTTTTTTTTGGTTTTTTTTCTTCTATTTTCACAATTTTTCTAGGAGGAGAGTGAATGGCCGGTGATCCAACCACTTCCATCGTACGGTCGAGGGAGGGACACGGACGGTGGGAGATTCATCAGTCTGATATTTGGAACCAACCTCACTGATGTTGTAATAACAGGTAATTAACAAGCATGTAATGTGATTAAGTTATGGGATTGAAGTTGTTGTAGAGTTGCTTACACTAGGTACATTTTGATATTAGGGGACAATGGCACCATTGACGGTCAAGGTGAATTATGGTGGCAAAAATTCAAGAAGGGAGAGTTAAAGTACACCCGACCGTACCTGATCGAAATCATGTATTCTGAAAATATCCAAATTTCCAATCTCACTTTGATTAATTCTCCATCATGGAACGTCCATCCTGTTTACTGCAGGTTCCTTTCTCCATCTCTGCCTTTTTTTCTTCTCTCTTTTGTCAGTAAAAGAAGTAAAAAGCATCAAATTTGCTGCGGCAGCATGCGTAACGTGTAACTCATAAAGTTTGATCCTTTTGAATTCTAAGATTTGTTGTAATAAAATGCAGCCATGTTCTTGTTCAAGGCATTACAATTCTTGCACCAGTGACATCTCCAAACACAGATGGGATCAACCCAGGTAAGCATAATGCGTTTCATATACACTAGTTTCTTGCTTATCTGCACAAAATTTAAGGCACACTTTGCTGTCCAAAATAGTAGAAGTGCTTTTGAATTGCTAATATAAAACTATGTTTTCAAAAGTTACTATTGCCAACTGCTAATTTTTACTCTACTATAGTTTTCCCATAATTATCATGCATATAATAAAGTTGATTTTGGTTTATCTTGTGTAGATTCTTGCACAAATACCAAAATTGAAGACTGCTACATTGTCTCTGGGGATGATTGTATAGCAGTAAAGAGTGGTTGGGATCAGTATGGTATTGCTTTTGGGAAGCCAACTAAGCAGCTTGTGATAAGACGGCTCACATGCATTTCTCCATTCAGTGCTGTGATTGCACTTGGGAGTGAGATGTCTGGTGGAATCCAAGATGTGAGGGCAGAGGACATTCTGGCCATTGATTCAGAATCAGGAGTTAGGATCAAAACTGCTGTGGGAAGAGGAGGCTTTGTGAAAGACATATATGTGAGAGGGATGACTATGAAAACCATGAAATGGGCATTTTGGATGACAGGAAACTATGGATCACATGCAGACAATGGCTATGATCCTAATGCTCTTCCTGTGATCCAGAACATAAATTATCATGACATGGTTGCTGAGAATGTAACAATGGCAGCTAAGCTGGAGGGAATAGCTGGTGATCCGTTTACCGGAATTTGCATATCGAACGTTACGATTACACTGGCAAAGAAGGCAAAGAAATTGCCATGGAATTGCACTGATGTTGCTGGGATATCAAGTGGTGTGGTTCCTCAGGCATGTGGGCTTCTGGTAGACCAGGGGCCAAGTAATGTTGCAGCATGTAATTTTCCAGAAGAAAGCCTGCCAATTGATAATGTTCAAGTTCAGGTGTGCTCTTACAGGAGGAAGCACTGGTGATAGATTGAAACATCATTGTCTAGGAATTTGTTTCCCATGAACAATGATTGATTATATTACAAAGTTTTAGTTAAAACAATCGAGAAAAACAATTTGAAAAGTTAAATCGACTGCTTGATGTATGAGACGTGGCATATTTTTAGGTTCCTAACTACAAAATGATTTATTGGAAAGAACAGATGAAACATTTCTAGCCAAAAATACAACAATGGATTATATATCATACCTCAATTTTCAGAGACTCTGTCAATGTACACCCTCATTGTGAGACGATTATTTTCTTATGCAGAAACAAGTTCTCAAAACAAGGAGCAACAAAAACATCATGATGATAAACAAAATAATAAAACCAGATTAGAAGCAAATAATGATCTAAAATGTGCAAGATTTAAAAAAATAGAAACAAGAAAACAGCTCTTCAAATCTATTGATTTTATATGATGCGAATAGAAAATTTTCATAACCAAGTCGGTACATCATCCAGAATTTTTGTGCCAAGCTCTAAATCATTTTCCCCAACCTCACTTCAATATTGCTTTGAAGCCTTAACAAATAACAACCATTCGCACATCAGTTACAGGAGAGTGGTGATTGATGATACATTTGTTACAAGGGGGGAAGTTCTTCATAATACATATATATATCTACAGCCCAAGCAAACGCATTTTCCTTTAGTGGGTTGGATCTGGATTGAACTTCACTGTTTCTCTCCATATGAGCTCTTTGATATGATCTTCAGTGCACGATGGTTGCTCAAAATCAAAATGGAAGGGCCTGGAACAGACGGGCTCATCATTGTTATCATGAAGGGACGACAAGTATGGGTGACAAAGTGCCTCGTCAACTGCAAACAGATTAAAAACAGAAATCAGGGAAAATGGACTCATAATATGATCCTCTACTTTGAAATGAAACTCTTGAAAATTTGGACCCATTTCTCATACCACTAATGCGTCTATTGGGATCAAACACGAGCATTTTCTCTAGCAAATCCACAGCCCCAGGAGACATATTAGGGAATCTAGCAGCAAATTGTTGCCTCCGGAATTGTGGAAGCTGTTTTACATATCTTCGGGTATTATCGCTTCGAAGAAACCCAAGGCTAGCATCATCAGGTGAACCTATTAACTTTAAACAAAAAGAACAATAACACATTATGTTCCATGTACATCTTACAAGAATGAACATATAAAGGACTTTCGAATAAAGAATAAATAAGCATACGATATAAAAATGGTAAATTATTATAGTACAGAAGACTAATTAAGAGGGTCTCAGAACCATGTGAGATGATATGAACCAAAAGCATGTCATGACTATATTAGTACTATCAGTTTGACAATTTACATGATAATCTTTAGAACATATTGACAACCAATCTTTTACCATGATATCTTAGCACAAATTAACGGCCTATTGACATTAGAACTCAGGGAGGAACACACAAAGCTAGCATTTCCTGAAGGCTACAATAGCTGACCTAGTTGTCAGACAATTATTAATGACGAAGATACCCCAGGAATCAGAAGAAACTCGGGTGGTTTGCACTATGGTGGTACCTGTGGGTGCCCATTATGAAATATGTCAACTGAACTTGGTCTAGGCACTTTCTCTACCCAGCCACCTAGGTGATCAGGTGTGAATCCTTGCTCAAATGTTATGATTGGACAGGTATTCTCAAGAGAGTGGGAAATTTAGGAGAGAGAAAGGGGTTGGAGACTGGAGGCAACTATCAAAACAGGTTGGCCATCCAGTTAATCTAACAAATGTCAACCATACATCAAATGAAAAACTAAAAGCATGCTTAATTAAATTTTAAGTTCATTTTGAAGTTCCAAAAGTAGTACCTCTGTGATAAGCCTCAGCTGATGGACATAATCTTTCCCAGGAAACAAAGGTTCTCTGGTCATGATTTCGCCAAGTATGCAAGCAACAGACCAGATATCAATTGCAGCAGTGTACTCTGAACAATTAAGTAGCAACTCTGGTGCTCGATACCAACGAGTGACAACATACTCAGTCATGAAATCTGTCTCAGTTGTTGTTCTTGCTAGTCCAAAATCTCCGATTTTAAGGTCGCAGTTAGCATTAAGAAACAAATTACTTGGCTTCAGATCACGGTGCAAGACATGGGCTGAATGCACATATTTTAGTCCTCGTAACAGCTGATACAGAAAGTACTGCATAGGATACACAAAATATCAATCTCATGTATGACTTTAAACCCAAGCAAAGTAATGAAACCAGATCGCAATATTATGAATTCTAAACAATATCCGAAACATAGGGTCGCAATTTGATATTTCTTTATGAAAAAGCTGAGAAAAAACTTACAATAATAAAAATATTTAATAACACTTCAATTAATTTGTTTTGAAACGACTTTTTTTTCCTTTAAGATTAACAATAATCACAAATATTTAGTTTTACATGAATTCTCTTCAAGTTCAAGGTATTTGTATATAAGGTTCCATCTACCTCTTTTATTAAAAAATAAAAGTTCATATTCATGAAACTTATGAAACATGCCACTTAAAACCTATAAGAACAGAGAAAAAAAAAGGTAATAGATTATATTATTAAGATCCCCTATGTAATCAAAGTATGCAAAAAGAAAAAAAAGCAAAGAACCACAGTACATTGATAATTTGAACTATATAATTACAATTACAAGGTAAGAAGCCCCAGTGATATTATTGGTGCCAAACCTGACAATGATCATCTGTTAGTGGTTGGTCAGACCGAATGATCTGATGAAGATCGGTATCCATTAGTTCATAAACAATGTATACGTCATTGAAGGTCTCTTTTTTTGGTGGTCGTACAATGTCCTTGATGGAAATAACCTGTGAAGGGAATTCACGTGCTGTAATTCTGAAGAGACCCAAATAGAAAGAGTAATATATGCAGTACAACAGAAGGCCAAACCAGGTCTGGAATAGATAGTCATTAAAGAAAAACAAAACTATTTGCCATAAATGACTGATGGTGGGGTGCTGGTAGGAGACTTGGCATAGACTGCCCACCCCTTCTACAAGATAACAGGAGAAAAGGCAGAAAATAACAAAATGCTGAAGAATAGTTTTCAGAGAAAACCCAGCAAGACAATAAAAGATGCTAAACCCATCATATATTGAAGATGCAGTAATGTATCCTGCAGAATCATTAACGACGTACCAATATCAGCTGTCCTGTCTTAAGCTTGCTTTTTCATCCAAAGTAAAAGACTTGCTTTCATGTTTTGTTATATTACTCTTAGATATAAAACTTACATTTTCATGGTCCATGTGGCGAAGAAGCTTGATTTCTCTTAAGGTCCTTTTGGCATCTATTATATTGTCAAATGCATTACCAATCTTCTTAATTGCAACTTCCTCATGTGTGTCTGCATTGACAGCCGCACTGAAAAGAAAGAAATTGTGTTATCCACCACACTGTATCCCAAAAATCATACTTTTCAAGAAAAAGAAACCATAAGGAAACGCTTTCCTCAGTATTACAAGCAGTCTTCTAGGCTAATCTGCTCTTCACAACACATGATGAGCAGAAGCAAGGCATGAAACCACGCATACCAACTTCATGAACAGCAAAGAAACAATTGCAAAGAATAGATGCCTAATCCAAAAGGAGTGGCTAATAAGCATCAGCTATATTCAAGAAACCAGCTCTGCTGTATGTTAGCATTTGTAACCAAACTGATATAAAACCAACACACACACACAGAAAACAAAATAACAGCATAATAAATTATTGAACCAGTTATGTACAATAAAATGCCCCTCCATTGAAATATCAAATGATTTCAACAACAAAGTACAAATTCTATACAGAGTTTCTTCTTCTATTTTGGGCATGTTTTCTGCAATATAATCTTGAATATCATCCGGACAAAGGAATATCACTCAAATTACTCAACAGACCAAACTCAACATAAAAACATTGAAACCAATTCTAAAGTAAAGCAAAATATATCGATAGAAATGTCAACAAAACCAAGCAAAAGCACAAATATAAAATTAAAAGTGCCCCACATAGCAAAAGAAGCTAAAGATCAATTTGTGAACGTAGAAAGCTTACCAGACAATGCCATATGCACCTCTACCAATAGGCCTAATGGGAGGCACGTACTTGCTAGAGACCTCAAACAAGTTCCCAAACACATTGTACTGCGCGTATCGACCACCATGGGTGAGCACCCTTTTGATTTTAGCATCCGTTGAAGAAGCAGAGCTCGACTCTTTGGCAGCCATGTTCAAACTTCAAACTTGAAACCCAGCAAAGGAAGCTCTTTTCTTTTTAAGGGTTCAGAAACCCTGAAGCGGGTGTTTGGGGCTTTAATGGTGCCCGTGATTCTCGACCAAATTCAGCAGAGCATAGTAGGTGATTTTGGATAACAAGTAATGGGTTTTGTGTGAAACTGTGAATGCAATGCAATGCAAAGCTATCTGCTTTACACTTTACCAGAGAGCTTTTGAGCTTTTGATCTGCAAATGGTTTGCAAAATCCGTGACTTTTGACTGAGACTTTTCCTGTTTTCAAAATGGTTTCGATCACGAAATAAGGAAGGAAAAAAGAAAAAATAATAAAAAAATCAAATTTGGGTATTTGGTACACGCATGACTGCATCATCAAGCACACGCGTCTCTCTTGACTCTGACCAAAAGCCTAGATTTTCTGGCAGTGGCACACACACCTGGAAGGAAGGCCTGATTGCTTACGACATGTCGTATGTAAGTCTGGTCATCTACCCTAGACAACATGTAGTGGAACCTGCCCTTTTTTTCTTCCTTAGACTTGACTTGGAATTATTTTCTGGATGACTTACAATATTTAACAAGTTTGAAGCAATGGGAATTGGAAACTGTTCTTTGCTAGTGTTCAAAAGTTTTGCATTTCACATTCATATTCACATTTCTGACCCTTTCAATGTTTCCAGGGGATAATATTTCCTCACTCCAAGTCCCCCACAAACTTTTAAAATGATTGGCATTGTAGTCCCTCTCAAACTTTTTCTAGTTTTAGGTTCCACTATCACCAACTACCCATGATATACAATGATGGGTTGGTTTATTAATTGCAAATATGGACAAAACAAAACTCTTTTGGGAAATATTGGCAAGAATAACCTTTGAGCTTACTGTCAGTAATAGTGATGCATTGAACTCAAAGACGAAAGATCACCATCAGTTCAATGAATTGTCACGGTTTCTTCATGTATTTGATTTCATGTGCAGAGACAAAATGGGTTCTGTCTGCATGTTGTAGTGAAGGCTTCTTTTTCTGGCAACCCACAGCAACACTGTGTTTGGGCTTTGAGTTCTTCTAATGTAAGCCTGTATGTGAGGGCTTTGGGTTTCTATGGGCTAAGTCTTGTTGTTTGTTCCTGGGCCTATGCCCCCAGGAAGCCTTGAAAAGGAGAGGAACTCGACTGGAATTAAATGTTGGGGTTGGGTCTTTGGTGGAGAATGGCATTTGGAATTTTGATTTTATAGGAAACATTTGTGCTCTCATAAGTGTTTTTGCATTTTGCAAGATGTGTTGAAATATTTATTAGAAGTTCAAGTGCTGTCTAAGTTCATCACAGAGTATGGACTTTTGTAAAATGCCTTCGTGTGTTACAGATATTTCTGAATAAGTACCTAGTAAGTGCTCTAAAAAAACGTTTCATGAACACTATTAAATTTTTATATCAAACGTTATTAGAAGTGATTTTAATTATATAAAGTGTTCTTTGTGCTTTTGATTATGAAAAGTGTTCTTAGGTCTTCCAAACCCAATCACAAACAGTCAGTGCCACTAAACAGAAAAATAGAAGGAACCCTCTCACTACTGCACCTTGTCCTCCTAGATCCATCTTCAATCATGGTAATATGAAATTTGCAAAAGGGGATAGCACAATTAGATGAAATATGCAAAAGGGCAATGGATTTGTTAAAAGTTTGCAGTCATATCCTCTGTTACTTTTATTTTACCCCGCTATACAGATAAAGATGTTAAGAATATCATGCATTAAGCTTCAGAATGCCACGTACAGCAGAACATCACAGATGTAGCAAAATGAGTCCCCCAGTATCAAAAAATCTGCATGAAGAGGAAGGAACAGTCTAGATCACTTTGAAGAGCCAAGAATATTGATCCACCTCATTCACCACCGACTCACTTGTTACAATTCCTTTTGGAACTTTGCTGGGTCGGCAAAGAAGCTGCAAGAAACTCCTCAGTCAAACCCTCAACACTATAAAATGAAACCCAATTACCAGCACAGAAAAAATAAAAAGTATACACTGCAAATTTGTCATTCTGTTCTGTGTACGTGTAATATTCATGGTTGAAGAAGTTGCCATGGCAGACACTGAGACCTTTGCTTTCCAGGCAGAAATCAACCAGCTTTTGAGTTTGATCATCAACACCTTTTACAGCAACAAGAAGTTCTTCCTTCGTGAGCTCATCAGCAATGCCTTTGATGCATTTGACAAGATTCGGTTCGAGAGCTTGACTGACAAGAGCAAGCTCGATTCTCAGCCTGAGCTTGTTATTAGGATTGTCCCTGACAAGTCCAACAGGACCCTCTCCATCATTGACACTGGCGTTGGCATGACCAAATCAGGTGCATACAACATCACTTGCATTTTAAGTTATTTGAATTTTTTTTTTTAATACAAACAAAATTGGAGGAGGGGGGAATCGAACTTAGGACCTCAGGTGCAGGGACAATGATTTTAACCTTCTGAGCTACAATTGAACACTGATACTAGGGTTACCAAATTCATTTACCAATTAAACAAAATTTGATAAAACAAAGAAAATTTTGGTGACTTGCAGTACTGTTAGTTGAATTGTTTAAATTATTTAGAGGTTTGGATTTGAAATAATTGCTGGGTTTTTTTTCTTCTTTTTGTTGGGTGTAATTTGTGTTAGATTTAGTAAACAACTTGGGGACAATTGCAAGGTCTGGGACAAAGGAGTTTATGGAGGCATTGTAGGCAGGGGCTGATGCGAGCATGATTGGGCAGTTTGGTGTGGGTTTCTACTCTGCTTATTTGGTGGCAGAGAGGGTAATTGTGACCACAAAGCACAATGATGATGAGCAGTATGTGTGGGAGTCTCAGGCTGGTGGTTCTTTCACCATCAGAAAGGATGTTGATAGAGAACCGCTTGGTAGAGGGACCAAGGTCACTCTCTTCCTCAAGGAAGACCAGTTGGAATTCTTGGAAGAGAGGAAGCTCAAGAAGCTGGTCAAGAAGCACTTTGAGTTCATAAGCTAACCTATTTATTTACTGGTTGAGAAGATTGTTGAGAAAGAGATCAGTGATGATGAGCATGAAGATGGTGGGGAGGCTAAGAAGAAAGAAGGGGAGGGGGAGGTTGAGGAGGTGGATGAGGAGAAGGACAAAGAAGGGAAGCCTAAGAAGAAGAAGGTTAAGGAGGTGAGAAATGAGTGAGAGCTCATCAACAAGTAGAAGCCAATTTGGCTGAGGAAGCCTAAGAGTAGTAACTTTGGCAGAGTAACAGTAAAAGTGTGAAAGTCGTTACCCTTTTTACTTGGGTATTGTTCCCTATTTATAGGGAAGTGAAAGTGGGAGGTTTGCACAAAGTTTCGATGTGGGACTTTGTCCAAGTCGCTGTGGTGGTGGTGACACATGTTCATGGAGATTAGGTTCAGCAATTGGGACATTCGGTAGGTGCTTGGCACCTTAGAAGAATGTCTTCCTTCGGCAATGGAAAAGGCGTGTCTGCCTTGGTGCTAGTCATTTTGAGGCTGGATATGCTCAGTTGATTATTGTGTAAACAGTAGTCCCCCAAGTTCGCAGTCAAGAAGTAACTCTTGAGTTGGGAACTTATTAGATTTTGTGTAATCGTAACCGAGCATTCCAGGTTCAATGGGAGCTGTATCACATTCCCTAGTCCCCCAAGTTGGCAAGCTAGAAGTTGCGTTAACACTTGAGGTATGGTAAAAGCTATAGGAGCCTCTAGAACCATTGGTAGCTAGGTACCTTGTGGGTATTTGGGCTTTCAGCAAGTCCTTGGAGCCAAGTCTCTAATGCTTTGGCAAGGGTTTGTCCTTCCACAGGAAGAACAAAGCTTGAAAGGAAGAGTCGTCCAAGAAAGCTTGGTGTGGCCCTTACTGTTCGGCAGGGCTAGAGCTTGAGGGAGAGCGAAATTTGTGGGCCTTTATTTTCTTCTCCATAGTGCCTGCCATGTGGCAGGTGTTTTTTTATTTTTTATTTATATTTATTTAGGAATAGCATTAGGGTCCAAGTTGTTTCAGCCCAGCACTTGATGTTCGGTAATTGGGCCAAGCAGGCCTCGATGAGCCTTGGGTAGGGCTAGTAGTTCAGCAGGTGGTGAGGACTTGGCAGGTGGGCTTAGGCATGTGTTGGAGCTAGGGTTTAGAAGGAAGGGAGTGATACCTTTGTCCCAGACCTGCCGTTCGGCAAGGTCAAGTCGCAAGGGTTTTTATGCTTCGGTGAGTGGGTTCTTTAGCAAACATGTCGATTGGTAGGATGAATGAAAGGAGTTGTTTGATCCTTGAATAGCTTCATGTCCTTATTTTCCATCTGCTCAACCCTTGCCGTTCGGCAATGGTGATCCGACCTAGGTTTGATTATGTAGTTTTGATTGTGAGCAGGGGCAAGAAGGAAAATTGAAGCTGGGCTTTGGTAAGGTGACTGTGGATACGGAAGGAGGCGCCACCGTAGCTGCTGCCCAATCCTTGCTGATCGGCAAGGGTGACTTGAAGGAGCCGGGGAGCTTGGCTTAGTCTTGGTGTTCGTCAAAGAGGCTGGGCTACTTGAGATCTTGAGTCCCCGCTGTTTCGGCAAGCTTGGTAGGGGTGCGAGATTTTGTTTTCTTGCTTCGAGTCCATTCGGCAAGGCCGGTGTTTGAAGGAGGCGGAATTACGGCAAGGAGTGAGGATCTGGTCAGCCCCGATCTTTTCTACTCAGCCCTTGCCGTTCGGCAAGGGAGGTTCGAAGATTGGTGGAACATCATATTGGCAACACAGCGAGGGTGGTCTTGGAGCCTATCACAATTCGGTAAGCATGTTTTGTTTCTGTATAACCCTTGCCGTTCGGCAAGGGTGTCTTGATCAATTTTGTGCAAACCTCCCACTTTCATTTCCCTATAAATAGGGAACAGTACCCAAATAAAAAGGGTAACGACTTTCACACTTTTACTGTTACTCTACCAAAATTACTACTCTTAGCTAACTTAAGCATCAGAGAGCCTTCGGCCGACACCACACCGGTGTCCGAAGCTTAATGACTGCTTCTCCCACTTTGTCTTCTGCAGGTTCTTCCCTTGCTGAAGGGTCTCACCTTCTCCCTTGCTGAAGACTCATCACATTTCTTTAAGTTGACCCTCTCCGAAAAAGAACATCAACAGAGAAGATAAGAGACATAACTTGCAGATATGATGGATGATGAAAAAAAAAGGCGGATTAGGGTAAGTTTTCTAATAATTAATTGATTTTTTTTAATCCGAATGATACCATTAAATATGTTAGCAGTACATAATTTGAATAAAGAAGCGTTGCGGTGCATTGGTAAATGGTTGAGTATGTGAGTTGGAAGGTAGGGGTTCAAAAGCTCTCAACCCCAATTTTAACATATTGATTCTTTTTAGCTACTGTCAGTTCGGTTCAGTCAGATCAACTCCAATTTTAACGTATTTATTATTTTTTTAGCTACTGTCAGTTCGATTCGATCGGACTGACGATCTTAAACCCACCGATATATATAACTTAGGAACAAACCAAAAAAACTAATTACCATTATATATAATTAGAGGGATTAAGGAAACATCAATTGTGCGTCATATCAGTGAAGCACACAGCATGATCTCCAGTTCGTGGCCGACCAATAGTACAATTCCCATCTAAATCAAGCCTAATGGATACTTTATTTTTCCTCTCAATGGTATGCAACTTTTAATTCCGAAAAAGGTCATATCATCAGATGTACATGGGTCCATGCATTTCAAAGTAGTTTTTTTCCTACTATTTTCAAACCTCAAATCATTTTTACTTTCTTACCCCATGAAGCTTGATTACATATGCAGTAGGCCATGCATGTACAAATTATTTATACGCACTCATGCTCATAGAAGAAAAAGATGGTAACTTACCACCACTTGACAAAATGGTGACATCACAATAAACTAAGCGTAACAACTTTGTACAAGCATACAAGCTTAAGGACTTCTCTTCCTCTTGTCAAATCAAGACGAGATTGTTCATATTATAATACGTGTTTTATTTATTTATTCATATTATACATTAAAACATAATTAACTTAATGCCACTTGACAATATTTCAATCAAACAAAAACTTTTGGTTAAAAATGAGTCAACATTATATTCAGTAAGGACCTCTATCTGTCAAGTATGCATATAAAGCCAACACTTGAGGTACATGAAGTCGTATTTTTTGTTGTTGTCAAAATTAGGAAGGGGATGAAGTCATTGAAGAGAGTAAATATGGTTGTTGTAGGTGAGAATTTTCCACCAAAACCTATAAATTATATGCAACAAGTTTATTTGGTGTATGGTACTTCTTTGCCGAACATTGAAACAGGTGTCGAAACTCCCTCGTTTGGTTTTTATCCGAAAAAACAGAAACTCTACTACTTAATTAGTAGTATAAAACCGTGGCCCAAAATGGGGCAGGGAGAGCTAGCTAGACATGAAAGGGGAAACAAGATTGCAGGAAATGAAAGGAGGTGGTACAAAAAAACAGGCGAGCCAGCCAGGATAAGGTTTTTCCCTTTAACAAAACAATAATTTCCAAAGTTATCATTTGAAAGTTTGACGAAAGAAACGTACTTCATCATGAGTTTGATTACTGTGAAATGTCTTGTATAATGGTTGGTTCGTGCATGTTCTATGGCAGTAAGAATTTAGAGAAAAGAGAGAAGCGATTAATCAAAATCAAATTTCTCAATCAAGCATTATTGGACCACTTGTAATCTCTAATTTCAAATCATAATTATCGAAAAAATATCTTAAGCATGAGATTCAACACTAATGAAAGCATGCATTGCCATTTATAAGAAAGATTCAACATACATGATGAAACATCATCCTATTTTAGTGAAGTGCTGTAAAATTTTCAAGGCTCTATTTGTTAAGCTGTCTCTCTCCATTGACAAGGAATATTGTTTTTGGTTAGTAATTTTCTCTTCAGTTTCTAAGAATACCATGGGCTACGAATGTAAACAGGCACTAATACTAAATTAAATGGAAAAGCAAAACCATTAATACCAAGAAAAAATGATCAAATGAAGACCAAATAGTTCAAACTTTGCTGCTTGTCGCATTGCATTGCCTTATTCATTCTCTTCTGTTGCCAAACCCAAATTAAATAAACATATTAATTGCATGCATTTGCTTATGTTACCTATAGAGCTCACTTTAATTTCACAATCCATCAATCTCACCCCGAAAGTAATAAAAAAAACAAACTCTGTACTCAAAAGCCTGGACCATTTCGAAAAGCTCTTCCTATAGAGAGAGAGAGAGAGAGAGAGGTGCATGGTAAGGTTAGGGGGGGACAGCAGTGTACGTTGTTGTTTGTTCACACACCGCCATTAATATCTTATAGAGATGAAGGAAAAGAAGACAGTAGGGTATTAGCTCCTGCATTTGATGACGCGGCAGGCTGTGCAATATTATGGTGTTCTTCTTCTCCAACAAGAACTGTGTCCCAAAATAGATAGTTAGAACACTGTTGCTGGGACACAACCCATTCATTCAGCTCCTGCCTTTGCATCAAGCATTCCAAGGCCATCTGATGATCTCCCTCCTCATCAAGATTAATGTTACAAGATTGATGATGAACTTGATGATCAATATTGGGCAGCATGTTGTTGTCCATGTTCTCGATCAACGGCGGCAAATAGTTCGTGTCCATGGTAGCACTGGTAGCACTTGTACTGAATGACATTGCCGGAGGCGGGAAGGCCTGGACTTGATGCTGGCTCAGATTCCACGGCTCAGATGAGCTCAAACCCGCCGCGGAGACCATGTCCTGGAAAAGCTCTGCACGTGCACTGTAATTCTCTGGAGCTGCTTCCATATTGGGACTTGTATCAAACATGAAGAGAGGGCATGTTGAGGAGAATAGGGTTTCTTGATGAGCTTGGGGCTTTGGGGTTGGCAAATCTTGATTTGCAAAATCTAGTTGGTTTGAGTTTATCATATAATTACCCATCTGGGGGATCATATGCTGAAGATGATCAGCACTAGAAGAAGGACTTATTGTGGTGCTTGAAGTTGTGGAAGGCTTTCTAATCTTCTTTTTGATCCATGAATTCCAATAGTTCTTGATCTCATTGTCTGTTCTTCCAGGTAGGTGGCTTGCTATATGAGCCCATCTACAAAATCAATACAGTCATGCATATATAATTAGTAAAAAGAGTAATTAAATTAAGAGTGCAAATTAATTAATTAAGTTCTAATTAAGATTAAAATTATGTTTTGTTTGTGTTGTGTTCTGATTTCAGCTGCTGAAATCTTCAATGCATGCCAACCTCCGAAGTTGACATCTTAACGTCTGTCAGTAGAAAATGTAGGTGACATGTGGTTTTGTACTGTATCAGTGAAGAAGATTGCTTCTGGAGAGCTACATATTTATAACATAAAACCAGACATATATATATATATATATATATGTGTGTGTGTGATCGCGAAAACTTGTTTTGAAAGTTTGTTTGTATTCAGTTAGAGGTCTATTTCACTTAAGTTGTTTCCAAACATCCGGTACCAATTAATTATTGTTGACAAGAATAAACGTGACCATTATATAAGATTTTAATTAGTGAAAGCGGTATGAATCCAAGCTTCAAAAGCACTTCTTCCAAAAGCATACTACAACAACAACAAGACAACCTTCAAACTTACACGTTCTAAGAGGAAAATAGACCTCCCAAAACCCAATTAACCATGCTTGAACATTGCAATGACTTTAAAGCTTCAAAACAACTTCTTTTCAAGAGAAAAACAACAACAAAAAGGTACGAAAATTTACGCGCATTCTAAAAGAAAAATTAGGCTTTTGCAAAACCCAATTAAGCATGTTTGAACACGATGGCAATGCGTTCAAATTTGGAGGCTTAAGATATATGCCATCAAGAACTGGTTTGGATTAATTGGATGCAAAGACTTCAAGGTTTAGGAAAAATAGTATAAGGTAATTAACTAATTAATAATACAGGTGTTTAAGTTAACCTGTTGCCTACAACCCCATGGAGGCTAATAATCAATTTCTCTTCTTCTGGAGTAAACCTCCCTCTTCTAATATCAGGCCTCAAATAATTAATCCATCTCAAGCGGCAGCTCTTTCCACACCTTTGAAGCCCTGAAACACAAAACAATTAAGCACCCCTGTTAATATTATTAGGAACAAGCTGATTTAATTAGGTCATAAGTAGTAATTAACACACACAAAGAGAGAGAAGAGAGAGAGAGAGAGAGAGAGAGAGAAGGGTGATGACCAGCTTTCTCAGGGACTTCACTCCAGCAGCCATAGCCATGGGTGGTGATGTATCTGATGAGCTTCTCATCTTCCTCAGGAGACCAAAGGCCTCTCTTAACCTTCTGCTGGTTGCAACAAGAATGGTGGCCCATTTTTTGCTCCTAATTCTCAATTTCTTGTTAACCCTTCAACTTGATCAATTCTGATATATCAGAAATTGATATGAAACTAGCAGCTATAGCTAGTGATCACCAAATGGGTGTTTTGCAAGAGAATTGGGTTTTTCTCTACCTCCTTTAAACTCCTTTAAAAGTAATATAAGTACAGTGAGGCTATAGAGCCGACATTAATTAACCTGATGGGGTCCGCACAAGGGGGAAGCAGATTTCCATGTAACCCTACAATGACATTTCATCAGCTCCTCCTTCTTCTTTATATATAATTATCTTATTCCACGGTTTCTTACTATTTTCTACGTACATATTTGTGTATTGTGTGTAACCAACTTCACGTACTCCAAATCATCATGTTGATGCTGGTGGTTCCACACAACTCGCTCCTTTTTGGTCTGCTACTGTGAAGCATTTAATTTATCCTAGCTTCTAACAATATCTCACCAATCAAACTGTGACACCTCATGTTTATATATATATATATATATATATATATCAAGCAAGCAATATTTATGGGGGTGGAATGATTGGGAGCAAGAAGGCACTGTAATTCTGTGTGCCTTGTTGGTCATGGTCCATTGAGCAATGTATTAATGTGTTGAAAGTTCGGCAGAAACTGATAAAATAGGCAATTCACGTGCTAGGTCCATGGCTGGCAAAAGGGTATTTTCATAACCTGTAAAACGTATAACTGTTCGTAAGTATAATTAATATGATGTATAAGGCATTCATTCTCCATTCTATTGTGATTAACAAATATTTACCATGCACCTGTTACATTGAAATTGTTCATTTTCTAAATCCCCATCTAAAAATTTATTAATCACAATAGAGCGGATAAGGAGATACATCATACACCCAAGTATTGTCCTAGAAAAACCTATACTCTTTTAGTCAACTTTTTTTATATTTTAATTATATATTTTTTTAATGAAATGAATTTCATTCAATAACCAGATAGCATAATACATTGAAAAGAAGGCAAAAAGATGTGCAAGCTTGAGCCTCTATAAAAAAAACCTTTAGTATAATCCGCCAAAGGAAAAAGAGTTGAGAGAGAGTGAAATAATAGTTTAGGATTATGGTTATATAGGTCCAAATTCGATTTCTCCAATGTAACAAAAAAGAAAACTAGAAAAAATTATAGTAAAATTCAACCTTCATTGAAATATCGCTCCTAGATTTTTTTTTATTAACGCAAATATTCAAACATATATATAAAATTCATGCATCATGTTCTAAAAAACAATCTTCTTTTGCATAGGACACATTAACTAACTTGATTCATAAGATAGATAAACTAAATTATCAATGCCCATATTGCTATTTTTTTTCCTTTATATCAACGTTACTATTTAATTGTAGTTCCTCGTTGTTTCACACCTAATTTATAATAATGTTTAGGCAAATAATACTATTATACTTATTACTTAGGTTTTAAGTATTTTCCCTTATTATTATTTTATATGAAACCATAGTGTACGAGGACAAAAACAAAAAATTAATAGTAGGATGTTGGTATAGTACTTCTAACATATACTTTTTCACAAAGAATAATATAAATATTCGCGGAGTCTTTAGTAGCATGGGGGCTTGTAACTAAAAGAGCATTAAAGAAATTGGTTGCTTGATGAAAATTTTCTCATGTGAGATATATTGGTTCACATTGGCATTGGTGGGTGAAGTCGCACAACACACCCTCTACCCTCGGGGTTAGTAGGGTCCCCCAACTACAAAGGATGGGTAGCAAAAAAGGGGAAAGCACATAGATATTCATTCCCAAGGTACCAAAAATGATATAGGAAACATCAGCTATTCTGGTTTAGTTAGGGGACATTGGAGACCCCGGCGAAAATGAAACCACTCAATTAATATTCTGATTTTCCTTAATCCTTACTTAAAAAATAATTTATAATTTTCTCCATTATTAAACTATTCAAAGCATGCATGCATGACGTCATCCCAAAATGAATACAAATCGGTGACGACGGCATCACGTAAATTTCAAATCAAATTATACTCTTGGGTTAGTTTGGTTCCCCTTTCTCTCATGGCTTCTGAAAGAATCATTAGACTTGGAAGAAAAAAAACAGGGAGGGATATGGATTATTACACTACAATACATATACATACATTATTATATAATAATAATTAAGCTTAATTTTTTTTTTTTTTTTTTTTTTTTTTTTTTTTTTTTTTTTTTTTTTTTTTTTTTTTTATTACAAGGAATGAGCAAAGATCCATCGTAGTGTATGCATAACGTCTTTGATAACATAATTAATTAATTAATTAACAACAACTCCTTGATTAGACCCACACATATTTCTTTTTGACTTTGGGGGTTTACATACCTAAGAAATTAATCACATATACATCTCTCATTTTCTACAAGGCCATTGACAAAAACCTTTGTTTATGGCTGCTTTAATTACTAGCGCCAATTTACATGATGCACGACTGTCTTAGATCTTTCGTCATCAGATAAGAAATTTGCAAGTACTTTGGCATTCTTTTTGCTATTTTGAAACCTATTAATTGCTTATGACTATTAGGGTGTTTTAATAGAAATATGGTGATTAGCTTAATATTATCTCCATGTATTGATTGCAAGACGATATTGATTCAGAGATCCTAAAACGATATAAATATTTGAATAGCGAGGGTGAAACGGCATAGTTTTGGACCATGAACGTACTACCAATATGCAAATTAGATAAGTAGAATTTTTTTTTTCTTCAACATAGTGATACTTTAAACAACTCTAATGTACAGGGATGGGGATTGTGTAAGTTCTAGACATTGTCTTACAGATCGAACCCGGATGTGAGCGGACACACTGACTTGACCGGCCAAACCCACATATGTAGATAAGCAGAGGTTAATCCAAACTTGTTTTGCGCCCACATTGTCACTTCTATGCTTAGGCAATAAGCTCTAATAAGGTGAAGGATTGGATATATTAAGTCATAATTATCCTTAATTTCCCTCTCGAATATTAATAAATTACATACTTTTTAATTGCCAACTCACATTAATACGTACATGTGGTTGATCAGAATTCACAAAGCATTAATATAATCAATCTGAACATTTATAAATATATATAAAGAAAATGCAAACCCCGAATCTGAAAAAAAGATAAAAGACAAGAGCTTAATCAATCTTTTGCAGAAATATTGTAACACAGAAGCGTGTTAGGGAGACAAGGTCCTTGTCTTGGCTGCGATGAATCCAAACGATTAGTTAGAACGTGGAACACAAATTTAAACTTGCTATGAACCTCAACAGGGGTATTTCCTTGTGTAGTTTGATAAGGCATTTTCAACGTTTTTATACGTAATTTGATATAAAAATATGGAAAGAGATCATCAAATAGGCAGTGATTCAGTACTGAAAGCGAGCGGGGTGATGCAAATCATCCACCACATTTGATGTGAAGAGATAGGAAGTGACTTTTGCTTGGATGGATCGCAAGCTAAAACTTTGAAAATAATATATTTGATTTACATATAAATCATGTTGGTTTTTTCATTAAACAAAAAGCACCCTTTGGGAGAAGAACTGAAAAGGAGCAATGATTATTATTCTTAGCTTTAAGGAGGAGCAATGGAGTGGCAATTGGGCCTACCAATGGGGTTTTTGAGTGTGTAGTGATTAATTAGTGAGAAATTATATTGGGACTTTGCCTTTATAAGCATGGTTGGTTAACTCATTAAGTCATGGATGAAATGTCTCTACCATAAGCTCTTTTGATTACTTAAATGTATTAGGGGTCCTTGTTATTGCTCTCTCTCTCTCTCTCTCTCTCTCTCTCTCTCTCTTTTTTATTAATCAATATTATTAAAGATAATAATGACATGATCACTTATACCCTACATGATGAATCTTTGTATGGGCCACCCCTTTCCTTATATGTCAATTATTGTTGCCCAATCTTACCCCAATTTGAATCCATGTACCTCGACCCCTATTTCCAACCATGGAAGTTTTGGATACGTTTGGTTTCTTTCTCTTTAAAAAGTTGCGACATGATTCTCATGAACATGTCAAGAATTGGATTAATGGGTAATAAGGTTGATTTGCCCGTTTAAAACTTGCACAGATTAATATGGATCTTGAATTGTTCCATACTGTACATATTTTTGAAAGAAAAGAGGGGAAGAAAAGAGTTCCAAGTGCTTACTTAATTTTTGGACAAAGGGATACTCTAAACCACTCTAATACACTAGGAGGGTGATAGAACTGGGGTGTAAAGGGGCGGGCACATTGATTTTGTCAACCGGCCTAACCCATGTCTATTTTGGGTGATCATATTTTTTCTGTGTACATTCAATGTAGATGGCTGCTGGCCATAAGTGAAAACCACTCTAATACACTAATATTGAAAACCTCAATATTATCTTCAAACAAGTCCATAACAGCACCTGCTACATACATAACAAAAGATATGCATAGGAAAGAAGCAGCCAATCACTATTATTGGACAAAGGGAAGAAAATAAGAGGGCAAGAAAAAAGTTCTAAGTGCTTACTTAATTTTTGGACAAAGGGATACTGTAATACACTACGAGAGGGATCGAACTGGATGTGAGGGGCGGGCACACTGACTTTGTCAACTGGTCTAATCCACGTCCGCTTTTTGGGTGATCAATTTTTCTTTTTTGTACATTGAATGTAGATGGGCTACTGGCCTACAAAACCAGATTGGGCTATAAGAAGCCTAGCAACCAGAACCCATTTCCACTGAAGTGGAGCAATTCACTAGTGTAAGCCCAGAAACTTGAGCCCATTTCCACTAAAGCCTAGAATACAGTCCGCAAATTACAATTTACACTCGCAAAAATTTTGCCCCGACAACTGCATGTTACATAACACTATCTTCTTGATCAAAATAAATGAGGTTAAAATAGAGACTTTTTTTTTTTTTTTTTTTTTTTTTTTTTTTTTGGGTTAAAATAGACTATATATGAACAGTCAAGG